AAGCTGAATAGATGATATAGTTTGATAAGTTGTGATCACTAGTACATGTAGTTAGATAAGTTCATTATCTGTTATGTTGACCATAATTTTTGAATGCTTGATAATCTGCAATAAGTTAGATAAACTGTCTATTCTGCCAAATCTACGTTTGAGATCTTTGAGTTGTGCCCTGTTCTTCATTTATTGAGTAAAAGTGTTTCATTATCATAAAATCATGTTAATGGTTGTTAGTGCTGAACTATTAATGTTAATAATGTAGGATGGTGAACATTGGTGCTTATGACATAGTTGTGCATTACAAGGGAAGAAAACTGAGGATTCCGAATGTTGATCCTGATGGCTACTTGTACATTAACTTGCTATATGATGTTGCTGACAAAGCATTGAGTGAAATGCCTGGAAATGCGAATATGATTATACATATGAGGCATGAAATTCCTGGAACATGTGAAATGCGTGATGTTAATGACGACAAAGCAGTAGTTGAGATGTTTAAAATGCATCAATCTGGAATTGTAATCAATTTGCATGTGTATGAAATGGAAATTATTCCAACTAAGCCTGATAGACCTTTAAACCATAACAATGATCAGAACAACCAAGAGAATTTAGGCATTGTTCCTTATGAAGGGTGGTTGTTGACCTTGGAAATTCTGATGATGAATTTGAGGACTCTAGTTCTGAAGAGTCATGGAAACATGTGCTTGATAACGATAATGAAGTGATATAGATGATGATAGAGTCTCAGTGGAGAGTAGTGACTTGAGTGATACTAATTTTTCTGATTTTGAAGAAAATGAGGATTGTGAAGTGGTTCCTGATTCCGAATCTGATCAGGAACTTGATCCTATGAGAGAAGTGATGAGATCAAAAATGTGGGTGTACAATCCAAGAGAGGAGATTGAGTTTGAGAAGGGCCAATTATTCACCAATGTGGATTCCTTTAGAGCAGCTTTGAAGGATTATGTCATCCAAAAGGGATTTCCAGTGGTAAGATTGAAGAATGAGAAAACTAGAGTGACAGCTATTTGTGGTATAGATGGTTGCAAATGGAGAATTCATGCAAGTCCTGTGGCTGATTCTATCACTTTTATGATTAAATCTTACCAACCTGAACACACTTGTGTGATGGATAAAAGTAATGTAGAAGCCACATCAGATTGGATTGCAAAGAAGTTGGTGCCTTTGATGAGAGATCATCCTAACATATCTAGCCAGGGCATAGAAGCAGAGATGATAACTAAGTATGGTATTAAACCAAGTTACATGCAGCTTTTTAGAGCAAAAAAGAAAGCAGAACAGGAGATTCAAGGAAACTTTAGTGATTCTTATGGCAAATTACCAAAGTATGCAGCTCTTCTAAGACAATATAATCCACAAAGCATTTGCAAAATACATTATGATAGGCCAAATCTCCTTGTAGAGCCCAGATTTTTAAGAATATTTGTTAGTTTTAGAGCACAAAAAACTGGTTTTCTTGAAGGTTGCAGGCCATTCATTGGCTTTGATGGCTGTCACTTGAAGGGTCCCTTTGGTGGTGTTTTACTCACAGCAGTGGCCTTAGATGGGAATGATAGTATATTTCCAATTGCATTTGCTGTAGCTGAATGTGAAAACAAGGAAACATGGGCTGGTTTTTTCACTTTTTTGAGGAGTTTTTTGGACCATTCAACAGCCATTTAACCTTTATGAGTGATAGACAAAAGGTACTGCTCAGAACAATCTACTTTTTATTTGGACTTGTTGAAGGATCTGAAAAAGCTTTTTTTGACTCATCTATTTGCTGTTTTAGGGGCTCAACCTTGCTTATGAGGAGATTTTTCCAAATGCTAGTGGTAGATATTGTTGCAGGCACATTTGCAGCAATTTCAAGCAGCAATTTCCAGGCATGCTGCTTAATAGTTTCTTGTGGAAGGCAGCAAAAGTTATGATCAGATAAGTCACAATGAAGCAATGTCAACCATTAAAGACATCAACATACAGGCTTACAAATATTTGGACAAAATTCCCAAGAAGGCATGGTGTAGATATGCATTTGCAAAAGAAATTAAATGTGACCATGTCACAAATAATTTCACTGAATCGTTTAATTCATGGGTTGGTGATCTCAGGGGCAAACCCATACTTACCCTTGTTGAAGGTTTGAGAAGGAAGTTCATGAAGAAAATGCATAAAGATACCAAAAAGGATGCATATTAACTAACAGAATCACCCCAAAATTTGCTGAAAAGCTCAAAAAAATTACTCAAGCATCAAGGCATTGTACACTAAATATGGCAAGTGAGGATACATTTGAGGTTGGTGATATGGACAGATCATTCATAGTCAATTTAAACCAAAGGACTTGTGATTGTGGTGCCTTCCAATTAGTTGGAATTCCATGCAAACATGCTGCACTTGGCATTATCTACAAAAGGGAAAAGTTGGAAGATTACTGCGATCAGTGGTTCTCCAAAGACATTTACTTGAAGGCATATGCTTCTATGATTCATCCTATACCTCATGAAAAAAGGTGGCCACCTATGGATGAAATTACCCCTAAGTTTGTACTGCCCCTCCTTTGAGAAGGGCTCCTGGTAGGCCAAGAGTTAACAGAAGAAGAGAAGCTGATGAAGGACCTTCATCTCAGCCAAAAAGGTCTAGTACCTTAAAGTGTGGAAATTGTGGTCAGTTTGGTCACAACATGAGAACATGTCAAAGAGCTCCTGTGCAAAGAAAGAATCCAGCCTATACTCATGCTCAACAGGTATCATCATACACACATTTGACAAATTAAATGTTCTTTCTTGATTCAACATGCTGCTTATGTTGTTTACCTCATGGTAGATGCCAACTAGAAGAGGGAAACCAGGCAGAGGAATTGCAAATTTAGGACTACAAGGATCTGTTCTTTGGGTATAAATCATATTTGAATTATGCAATTAGTCTACAATGTCACTTAGTCATATTACTTTAACATGTAAATTTGTTATGACAGGATCATACACATGGGAATGTGCCTATCGTGCATTCAGGTCAAGGTTGCAATTCAAGTCCTTCCACTGGAAATGCTGCTACAAATATTCAGGTTAATGTACAGACAGGTGTAATTGCCTCTAAAAGAAAGGTACGGGCTCTTTTGTTTAGTTCTCCAATCTAGTGCTGCTACATATGTATTCAATAAAGCACAAGCTCTTTTATTTTGAACAATTGCAGAGAGGAAGGCCTTCAAATGCTACTTCGACAAATGCTGCAACAGGTTCTCGCAGAAGAGTTGCACCAGAACTTGCTCAAGCTCCTGTGCAAGCCCCTGGTGATGCTCAAGCTGCTACAACTGTTAGGATGAACACAGTGCAACTCTTAACTCTACCAATATTAGCACCAGCGGCAGTTTTAGCTTGCATTTCTAATGGAAGCTATTATGCTTACATTTCTCTTCTTTTGTACTTAGTGGTGCTTGTGAATTATAGTTCATTAATATGCTGCCTACTCATGCTTTTGTATCTGGTGTTGTGTGAAACTATGACTAAACAATGGCTTTGCAATCCTCACCCTCTGCCTGATTGTTCAAGGCAGATGGTGTTTTGGATAGTCTTGGATTGCATTTCTATTTATTTAATATATGGTTATGAAATCTGAATTGATATTACTCTTGGATTGCAGTTTTAGTTTGCACTTGTTACTGTTAAGACCTCATAAATGACTATTTTAGTTCTTAACTTGTTTTGTTTAATGGATCTGTAATGTTGCAACTTGAGCAAATGACAAGTAACTTAGTTTTTGCATTGCTCATGAACCTGATCTGTAATGTTGCAACTTGAGCGGATGACAAGTAACTTAGTTTTTTCATTGCTCATGAACCGGTTCAATTCATTCTTTTCCACCTTAGTTTCTGCAACAAATCACTCTTTTCTACCTTAAATATTGATGCTTAAAGTGAAAGTGGCTTCCTTCTTAATGCTGGTCCACAATATGTTGAAGATAAAAAATCTGTTCGATTCATCCAAAGTCAAGGTACTGCCGTGGTGCTCTAGATGCAAAGATCAGGATCTATGATGTTGGCATGAAAAAAAAAGGAGTTGATGGGTTCTCATTCTGTGTTCACTTTGTTAGTTGAGAAAACAAGAGAGAATGTCTCCAGTGAAGCACTTGAGGCTCCTCTGTTGCCATTTACATGAAATTTTGTTTGTTTTTGGTCTTGTCACATTTTTTTGGCCTGAATTTCAGGGAATATAGCTCAAGTTCAGCAACACAGACTATGTTAAATGGAAGCAAGAGAAGCATATTGTTCCAGACGGTGTTGAGGACAAGATATGTTACTGCTATACAAGTTCATTTTAGAGCTGTCTTTGCTTGTATTGTTGTTCTTTGATTGTACTCTGGCTTTTGGTTGTAAGGCTAGTGCTAAAACTTGGTTTTGTTCAAATCTTGCAGCTTTTTGGTTACCATGGACCATTGGCTAACCGTTAACCTGGAAGAATGTATTTACAAGCAATTTCTTAGTTTACTTCATTAGCATTTTGTCCCTAGTACTGATAGATGATTTACGTAGCTTTACAAAAGATAGCAGAAGCCATCCGGGAGTTGAAGCTCCAAATCCCCTCTTCTCTTCCTCTTTCCCATGATCAAAGTAATTGGATCCGAGTTTGTTGTTGTTTTTACTGTTGTCATCCTCGTTCGAGGTTGTATTGTTGTTGTTACTGTTGTTATCATCATCATCCAGCATCCCTCTTTTTTATTAAAGTAATTTGGCGATGGAGTTGGGAAATCTGCTACTTTTTTGCCTTGAGGTACATGCACCAGAAGAAGAGAGATTTTCTTGGGATTTTGAAGCCGTCTTCACGGCTGAACTCCCTACTTATAGCTACCAAATTAACTACACAAAATACTGCACTGAGTAGAAGGAAACTAAAACACTAAGAACTAATAAATGATGGTAACAAGGATCCATTTACTCTAAAAAAAAAAAAAAAAAAAAGGATCCATTTACTCTTCTCCTCTTTATTTTTCCTGCATTTGTTTTATGTTGTTCCTTGGTTTGAAAATTCCTGTGGAAAAATGTTTTCTACATGATTGCTCACAGTAGCGCTTGCATCATAGGAAAGGAGATTACCAGCTGCTATGCTAGGCATCCCAGGACAAGTAATATTGCTGGTCCTTAAATTTCCTGTTTCCAGATCGTAAAATACTAACTGCAACATGTCATGGTACCCCAATTTAGTAGTCATCAAGATTTCACTAGTTTTGTGCGTTGTCCCTATGACTTCAAGTTTGGAAACTGGAATTCTTGGCAATTTGATTATATTCTTAGCCCAATTTTTATCCTTCTTGTTGAATATCCATAGCTTCAACATATTATGACAAAATGGTCTTCTATATACGATGGCAAGATCATCTCCAATCTGAGTCACTTGACGAATTCTTTTAGTCCTTTTAGGAGGAAAAACCATCCCAAACTTCTCCTCCCCAACATGAAAATATTGTATAGCTCTTTCACCATCCACGAACAATGCATCTTTCCAATAAATACATCCATCCACGCAAATTGTCCCCTTCTTGAATTTCTCCAGTAGTGGTTTGTTGCTCATCGTCCTCCACAAATTCGTTCCAGTTACATGAATCCTCCACTTAACTTGCCTGCCAAATTCCAAAGTGCAGAGCACTTTATATTCCTTCCTATGAGGATCAAATCCCAGAAACATTGATGGATAACGGAATTGTAGTGGACGCTGATAAGGGAGCGCTGCAGCTTTGTGCAAGTAAATGGTCAATCCCTCCTTTCTCCTTATTTCACTAACATCCCCTCATTTTTTCTAATTTATTTTTGGCTTTTTTTAGTTTTTATTATTTTACTAATATAACTTGTAAACACTTATCTCAGGGGCATTTATGGAAATAAATTTCCCTCCCTTTCCTGTAAACACTTTTTTATGTTTACTTTTGACTCGTGGACTGATTTTGTTATAAAATCCTAAACCTCAGGGGAGGTCAGTGTAATTGTGGAAACCTCAGGGGAGGTCAATGAAATTGTCAGAAACCTCAGGGGAGGTTTCTGAAATTATCCCCAAATTTTATTCAAAAAAAATCTCATCCCAAAAAAGACATACAAAGAGAATACAAGAGAAAGGGAAACAGTTTAAAAGAATTCAAAATCAATGAAAATTGATATAAGTGGTACCATATATATATATATATATATATATATATATATATATATATATATATATTCTACATCACTTAACCTCTTTTATTAAAAATATAAGATAATAACCCATAAAAATGAAGCTTATAAACAAATAATCTCTCATATTTTTGAGAGCAAATTGCTTGATGAAATTAGTTAATTCGCACTAATACGTATTATTTTGTAGTATATGTAAAAATGAAAAACTAAATATATATGTATGTGTGTGTGTGTGCGCGCGCGTGTGTAGCAGATCGGGTGCTCGTGAGTTCTTAATTTTGTAATCCTAACCTATCCCATATATGAGCGAGTAGCCGATCATCTTTTGACACGATAAAATAATACGGATCTAGTATCCTATATTATGGATTAAATGAGATCGAATATTATAAATTTTCGAGTCAGCATGTATTTTTTGCTATCCCTAGCATGAATCACAAATGACACATCACGTCTACAGGTTCTTGGGATGGAGTTTTTTTAACAGGAAGGTGAATCATTTTAGCATGGTCCTAATGTTCATCCGCTAAAGATGCTTGTTTAGTCAACAAAAAAATTATCCATATTCATGAAGATATCGCTACAAAGTCTTGTCTAACCAAGCAGCAATGAACAAGAGAGGAACTTGAAAAACAAAAAAGAAAAAAAGAAGAAGGAAGTAAGAAATCATTTTCTCTCCAATATCTGGAGTTTCTTTTAAAATAAGAAATAAAAAATCAGTCCGTGGTGTAAAATATGTGATAAACTAACAAAATGAGAAAAATCATTTTAATTAGAATTAGGAATAGGTGTAGATGTAGATGATAACAAATGATAAAAAAAAAAAAGAAAAGAAAAATGGTTGTTTGACTTGGTAGTAAAATGCATCCGAAAAATCACCGCCACCTAGGCAGTGCGACTTTCTTACCATGCATCCACCTCCAGTTGATAAATCCCGCTTCCCACACCCTTCAAAAGCCCAAAACCTAGCTTCCCCAGCTGACGCAAAACCCTCTACCACCACCAGCTTGTTGCGTAACTGGAAACAAAAAAAAACAAAACAGAAAAAAATACGCACAACACACGCCAGGATCCCCTCAGAGCTCCCCATCAATGTTCCATCACCCGGTAAATTCCATTTTCCATCCCTAAGACTTATATTGCTATCCGTTATAAAGCCTTGTTTCCACAATCTCATCTATTTATACTTACAAATAAGTATGTATACATAAACCTAGAGCCCCATATTAAAACCCTTTTTGGGTTTCTGATATTTTATTAAATTTTCTGGGTTCTTTTTACGTTTTTGTACGTTCATATTGGCTATTACATTCTTTAGGAGTTTTTGATTGATTCATCGATTGATTGGGTATGATGGACCTGATTTATTTTATTTGATGCTGAACTGGATTGGGTTATTTTTAGATGGGCATTGGATGCTTTCTGAGAATATTGGCTAAAGTTTTGATTTTTGGTGGCGGGCATGTTTGGTTTTGAAGGGGGGAATTTTAGAACATGCTATCTCTGCACCTGGCTCGCAGATTTGGCACTGCAACCCACATTGTAGCGGCTGCTATTACGTGTACTGAGAGTGTTAACTCTGTTAGGGAGAAGCCGTTTCCAATGTGGTAAGGGAACCCATAGAGTTAGATGAGCCAGCCCTTGTCAAGTTGAAGAAGGAAAGGGACCCTGAGAAGTTATTTAATTTGTTCAAGGCTAATGCTCGTAATAAGTTAGTTGTTGAAAACCGGTTTGCATTTGAGGACACGGTTTCTCGATTAGCCGGGGCGGGCAGATTTGATTATATTGAAAATTTACTTGAACATCAGAAAATTTTGCCCCAAGGTCGTCGCGAAGGGTTTATCATTCGGATTATAATGCTGTATGGAAAGGCAGGTATGTTTAAGCAAGCTGTTAATACGTTCTTTGACATGCATTTGTATGGTTGTCAGCGAACCGTCAAGGCGTTCAATGCTGCACTGAAGGTTCTGACTCTATCCCTGATTTGGAGGCAATTGAGTCATTTTTTAGGGAAGCTCCTTTAGAGTGTGGTGTCAAGCTAGATGTATACTCTGTGAATATCGTCATCAAGGCAGTATGTGAAATGGGAATATTGGATAGGGCACATTTGATCATGTTAGAGATGGAAAAGTTGGGAATAAGACCTGATGTGGTTACATATACGACGCTTATATCAGCTTTTTATAAGTTTAACCAGCGGCATATTGGTAATGGGTTGTGGAACCTTATGATTCTCAATGGTTGTTTGCCTAACCTTGCCACATTCAATGTCAGAATCCAATTCTTGGTGAATAAAGGTCGGTCTTGGGATGCTAATAAATTAGTGGGTTTGATGCATCACCTAGGTCTAAAACCAGATGAGGTCACATATAACTTGTTGATCAAAGGGTTCTGCCGAGCTGGATTTCTTGATATGGCAAAAAGGATTTATTCACATTTACCTGATCGAGGCATTCAACCAAATGTCAAAATTTATCAGACAATGATTCATTATCTCTGCGAAGCCAATGACTTTGATTTAGCATATACGATGTCTAAAAAAAGCATGGAAAAGAATTGGTTTCCAAGCATCGACACTATACTAAAGCTACTTGAAGGGCTACGGAAGACTGGAAAAATTGATAAGGCAAAATTTGTGATCAGTTTGGCTAAGAAAAGGACACCACCTTTTTCTGCACATCAAATGAATACCATGCAGTCTATGCTGACAAGAAAATATGGGAATATTCAAACTGAAACTAAACTGTGATTTTTGGAGCTCATCATCGTTCTCTACTCAAGGCTGTTGAGGCAACCGCAGCCTGATAAGCACTTTTCATGGATCAGTATTCAGAAGACGGTGCTTCTTCTTTGTCTTAAGTAAAAGCTATGGTGTCAATGAAGACCCTGGAGAATTGAATATCTGCCAAAACTTTAATCATCTAAATTTTTGTGAGTCTCTCTCTCTCTTTCTCTCTCACGAGTCTGTGATAAGTCTGTGACATGTGTTCACCCCATGCAGAAGTAGCTTTTGCATAACTCACAATTCCATTTTCCGATAAAAATTATCTGCTTATTTGCTACCACAGGACACAAATTTCTCTGAGAGTTTAATGTGTTTCTTTTGTTATTTCGGTACCAGTAGTCATATGAGACAATGTAACAGAATGGCAGCTGAAATCCCTGAATTGAGATGTCAAAGGGTGTGATGCAATTGGTAATTTCACAAGCTACTTTTTTTTTTCTTTTGCTCTTTGCACTGCTTATTAGAATTGGCTGTATATAAAGTCAATTCTACTTAATAACCTAGGAGCCATGGGCTGGGTCACGGTGATTAGGAGAAAGCATGTAATGAAACATGTCGATTGAATCTTAAATCTGAAGAGGCTAAAACATTTTAGCATTTAATTTTTTCTGTAAAAGTCACTTTTCCACGGAGGGAGAGTTTATTGAATAGACAGGGTCCAAATGTTATTGAATTGACAATTAAAGTCATCAGCTATCAGGTGTTGAAGGCAGAGGACGCGTTTCTTTGATAGATGATACATTTACTAAAGGAAGGTTCTGTTGTTGAAAGCTGTAATTATAATTGCTTTGTAGTCGGAGATTTAAAGAATTAATGTTCCAGTGACTACTAAAAATAAGTATCTTTTGTTGCAGTTTTTTATATTTATGTGCCTCTTGTAATTTGATTGGTCAAGGATCTGACAGTTCTGTGTTAATTTAGGTTTGAGGCTTGGAGAAGAGTCATTGACCTTTTTCCTTCTTGGAGGCATAATTCAAACAGTTTTTTTTAAGTGAATTTTGAATTCCTTTATTAAGAGGAACAAAATTTATGTTGAAATATTTTTATAGATAAAAAACGGATGCACCTGCACACCAGGTGATGTGGATGTTGTCCTCTTGCTGGAGTGGATGATATCATCTAAAGCACTTATCTCATTTTTTTTGGTGCACATAATTAATTAGAAAGGTTGCTTGGCACAGCAAATTAATGTATATGGAAAGCCTGGATCTGTTAATTTTTTCAATAACTTGTATGATACAATTTATGATATTGAAAATTGTTGCCATGCATGTTAAGAACCTGTTCTGGAAATTTTGGAACTACCATTTTTACATGAGAGATTATTCTTAGTCTGCTCATTACTGATCATAGTCTTCTAGAATTTTCATGTAACTCTACATATAAATTTCTGCATTGCATCTTTACTCAATCTAGAGGAGTTCTATGACAGGATTTACATTTATGCTGTGACAGGTAAAACTTATAATATATGTTATATGCAGTGATATACAAGCTGCCCCTTCTGCTCATTGTTTACGTACAAAACCGTTGTCCGGTACCAGGATGGATAGCTGGATGGATGTATTCAGATACGACCGATTGCACCGTTGCGCTAGTGAAGATTGAGACTGGGGAGAATTTTCATGAAATACGTGACATGGTTTAGGTAGAAAGCTAAGCACATGCTTCATTTCCATATTTTCTTGAAGTTTATTCTAGAAAATGTAATGTGAATGACCACTTAAACATCGCAACCTTACACCCAATGAACATATATATGACCCCTTGAAGCATCTTCAGACTTGGTGGGCACGCTTAGTTTCCTAGACATATTGGTATGCCCAGGAAATGCTCATAAAACATATAGAAGTATATACTGTTCCCACTTAAAAAAAGTAACTAGAAGAAGAAGTATATGCTATTATCCTATTTGTCAACCTTTTGCAGTTTGTTCCGGAGATAAGATAATATTTCCATTTCTGATGCAGGTAATAAGGCAAGTAGCGGGTGTGTCTGCAAGTTTGTTCTAGAGTTTGTTGACTGGCTTGAAGGTCAGATATAACATATACTGTACCCTATCTTCTTGGCCAAATTTAGAAGGAATAAAGATGGACATGGCTTTGGAACCTGCTATTTGTCGGAACTGCAATTCTTATCACATGCAAAAGAATCCAGATTACTGGCATCATTATGTCAACTATATTTCCCATAAACAAGAGCATTGGTACCTGTTTTTGCATACGTAAATTTCATCACTGGGATGGAAGAAAAGGGTGCATCTATTATGTTTTTCATAATGATGACAGCGCAAGTTCCTCGTGATTGGATCACTAAGTTTCATCTATGCCAAAGGGAGTGCTACAGCAAGAATTCTATGAGAACATCATGATCCTTTCATGGGAAGGCAGGGAAATTTCGTCAGCTGCTGGATAGATTCAAGGGCTTCAGATATAGTCGTTTAAACTTTAACTCTTGTATTGAAGTGCAGCTTGTATACAACATGAACTGTGCAGCATCTCATTGTACTCCAATTGAAGCACTGACAACCTACCCTCTCCTCCATGCCATTCAGGATCTAATCTATACCCAATATGAACTAATAAGATTTACGTTTGATCTTTGCCGAGATAAGGAGCTAATTGTTTAGTTCACAACATTTCCATCCGGCCCTTGTGCTATTTTTTCTTTATATCACAGACAGAAATCTTTTGAAGTGAAATCACAGAGGAATATCACCAATGACGAAGATGATTTGTGTGTAACCACCAAAATACCGTATGTATTCAGGCCATAAAATTGCTTCTCTGCAAGTGTAAAGATAGAAAGTTTTTGCTGCCCAGCTAAAATAATCACTCCAATGAATGCAATCTACAACTACAAAGGCCCTGGATGACAATACTCGTCCAACTTCGTTTGTTAATGCAATTTGGTGCTATTGATGTTATTACTACTTTTTATTCGTCCATTAAGGCCCTTTTCGGCCATCTCGTTTCTTCTTTATTAGTATTATTTTTTTTTTAATTTAAAGGTCTCCTTATCTTCCTCTATATATTGACTGTTTGAGACTTGAGAGAAACAGTTGACCGACCACCACGAAAAATCAATTCCCGCCAATTGGCCAAGCGAATTTGTACCCCGGCTATTGTACCATGCCAATTTTCTAATTCCCTGGAAGCAAGAAGGGAGTGAGAGTTCTTGACGGCCTTTTTCCCCCTTAATTTTAGGTTAACTTAAAGGGATACAAAGCTTTTGGAAGCAAGCTGTCATATTAGCATAGGTTTATCAGATTAGTTGATCAAAGGTCTGCATTTTCTTCTCAAATCTCAATAGTAATTATCTGATCGTATGCAGATTTTCTATCTCCAATGAATGAAAACTGTAGGAAACTGCTCAAAAGCTGTAATTTTGTGGGTGAAATAAACCTAAAAATCTCGCCGTTCACATGTCTAAAAACCTTCTTTCTGGGATTAAACGTCTCAAGCCCAATCCCAAGTCAACCCATGAAATTCCGGTTCCAACTCAGATCAAGAGACTCGTAGTTGAGGTGTGTGAGATCCTTAGGACACAAACTCAATGGGAAGAAATGCTTGAAACCCGACTGTCGTGGAGGAAATAGTCCCATCTGAAATTGCCCACTTGGTGTTTGATAAAATTCACAATGCCGATTTAGGGCTTAAGTTCTTTGGTTGGGTCTCTGATAGACCTTATGGCTGTTCTCTGGATGGGTTTGCTTATTCTTCTCTTTTAAAGCTCTTGGCTAAGTTTAAAGTTTTTTCTGAGGTCGAAGCTGTGCTCAAGAGCATGAAATGCCAAGGGAAGTGCCCAGCCGAGAAGCTTTTGATGTAATATAAGAGCTATTCTGATTGTGGCTTAGTTGATAAAGCCGTTGAGTTATATTCTTTTGAAGTAAATACCTGTGGTTTGGTGCCAAATGTGTTGGCTTAATTCTTTGCTTAATGGACTTGTGAAGAAAGGTAACATTAATGATGCAATGCGGATATATTGCGACATAGTTGAGAGAGCTGATGGGGAAGAGAATTGTTCTGCGGATAATTATACTACAGGTATAATGGTGAGAGGATTGTGCAAGGAAGGTGAGGTTGATAAAGGTATGCAATTAATTTTTGCTAGGTGGGGAAAGGGGTGTATCCCAAATATAGTGTTTACAATATACTGATTGATGGACATTGCAAGAAAGGCAATGTTGAAAGAGCTTATATGCTTTTTAAGGAGTTGAAACTAAAGGGATTTTTGCCCACAGTTGAGACTTATGGAGCAATGATCAATGGGTTCTGCAAGGAAGGGGATTTTAAGAATGTTGATAAGCTTTTGAAAGAAATGAATGAAAGGGGATTGGCAATTAATGTATCTGTTTATAATAGCATTATAGATGCAAAGTACAGGCATGGTTGTGCAATGGATCCCATGGAGACTGAAAGAAAGATGATTGAGGGTGGCTGCAATCCTGATATTGTGACATATAATACATTGATTTCAGGCACATGTAGAGATGAGAAGGCTCAGGAAGCTGAAAAACTTCTAGAACATGCGAGGAACAGGGAATTACTGCTTAACAAGTTCAGTTATACTCCTCTTATTCACCTCTACTGCAAACAGGGCAATTTTGACCGAGCCTCTAATTTGCTAGTTGAGATGACAGAGCATGGACATAAACCTGATCTGGTAACTTATGGAGCTCTTTTGCATGGGTTTGTGGTTTCTGGTGAGATTGATGTTGCTTTATCAATTCGAGACAAGATGATTCAAAGGGGAGTGCTTCCAGATGCAGGTATCTATAATGTTTTGATGAATGGACTTTGCAAAAAAGGGAGGTTTGCTGACACTAAGCAACTTCTTGCTGAGATGCTTGGCCACAAGTTGTTACCTGATGCATATAACTATGCAACATTAGTGGATGGATTTATCAGAGATGGTGACCTGGATGGGGCAAAGAAACTGTTTAAGAAAATAATTAAGACTGGAGTAAATCCTGGATTGTGGGATATAATGCCTTGATTAAGGGATTCTGTAAATTTGGGTTGATGAAAGATGCAGTATCGTGGATGAATATAATGATGGAGAGAAACATTTTTCCAGATGAATTTACTTATTCCACCATTATTGATGGATACATAAAGCAGCATTATCTGGTTGGTGCATTGGTGATGCTTGGAAACATGATCAAACGAAATTGTACTCCTAATGTGGTAACATATACCAGTCTAATCAATGGGTTTTGTCGCAATGGAGATCTTGCAGGAGCTGAAAAGATTCTTAGGGAGATGCAGTTGAGTGGTTTGATGCCTAATGTTGTGACTTATACCACAATAATAGGTGGCTTTTGTACGGTAGGAAACCTTGCAAAAGGAGCCTTCTTTTTTGACCAAATGCTGATTAGCAAGTGCACTCCCAATGACATTACATTTCACTTTCTGGTTAAGGGATTTTCAAACAGTGTACTTGATATATCCAAGCAAGAAAAGATGTCTAACTATAGTAAGTCTGTGTTTCTGGATGTCTATCAAAGAATGATATCCGATGGTTGGATTGTCAGACAGCAGTGTACAGTTCCATAATTGTTTGTCTTTGTTTGCGTGGTATGTTCAGAACAGCACTGCAGTTAAGAAATAAAATAGCTAGCAAGGGATGTATTTCAAATCCCATCAGTTTTGCTGCCTTCTTGCATGGTATTTGCTCCGAAGGAATATCAGAGCAATGGAGAAGCATTGTCTCATGCAACTTAAATGAGCAAGAGCTCCATGTTGCTGAAAAATACTCTTTGGTGTTTGACCAATATTCAACTAATGGAATGACTTCTGAGGCCTCACATATCTTGCATGCATTGATTAAAGAAGAACATTATCAGGAACTGAGGAAATATCAAAGTTTCAGTTAGTTAAGTGCAAGGAAGAACTTGAAACTTTTATTGTACTTCAAACAAGAGTATCTGAAGTTAACCAACACATTAGTGCCTTGCATGAGATGAAGGAGCTGTCTCAAGGACTAAATTATGTGTGTTACCCTGGAAGTAGAGAATACATGCTATACAGCACATTGAGAGCTAGTATAGGAGTACTTTGGCTCCATTTGCTAATATCTAAAACCTACTGTCATGGTAAAATCAAAGTAGATGGAAAGTTTTTAAATTTTAATCTGAATCCTTGATTTTTGGAGGAAAAGCCATCTGGCGCTGTCGTTTGATATAATTACTATTTTCTGTGTAGGTGACTTGTGACATCTGAAGTGTGAAGTACATACACTTGATAAATGGAGGTAAGATTTGGTTGCAAGTTCACAAACTCATATAGTTTCATGCCTGAGGTACAGATCATAGTAAAGTTTTTTGTATTGCTAGTGGACTGCTATTTTCCCACTCTAAGTACCACTATAAATGCTTCTGTTCCAGATTGTTTTCTAAAGAAACTACAACTTAGAACTTACAATTTTCCCGTCATCCTTTGGTGGATGATTGGAGTATTAGACTATGGTGGCAATTATTCCTATTTTACAGTTCTGTTTAGCTTCCAAGTTTTATGCCCAGTATGAAAATTATTTATTTTTTGCAGAGAGAGAGGAAATATGCAAGGTGATTTTGTTTTGCATCATTCCTTCAGTAACAAGTAGGCACTGCTGTGAAAGTAAGTCCTCTAACACTTTCCTTTTGATTATTATGCGCAATTATTAGTCCCAAGTTGATTTCAGATTGATAGACATGCAGCCACTAATAGTGCCACTTGTTAATCCTGGAAGATTTTCATGAAGTTTGACAATCTGCTGATAAGTTTGGTGGACGAGCTCTCATGTGAATGTGCCCTTGCACAATCTTGCGACATTGTAAGAAACGCCAATAACTGATAGAAGGTTGTGTGTGATTTTGCTGGTGGCCATGTCTTGATACTAGTAACTTTAGATCTAAGGCAACTACAGAGGTGTCAGGCGGAACCTTGCTAGTTTATCATACGTAGAATGGAATTTGTCGATGCTGGCATATGCTGAAAGGTGGAACTGGAAATGGAACACAAACTTCTTGATAAGCGGTAGCTAGTTGGAGATACTTGTTGATACAAAGTTTCAAACGTGATCCACATTTGTGCATCCGCCGGAATGTTGGAACTTGCATCCTTCCTTCAAGTCTGAATGTGTTCTCACGTGTGAGGCTGTGCGGCATCAAAAGTTTGTGTGACATGACTGACAAGTGATCGTCCAACAGAATATTCCTTTTGGGCAAAGTGCACACATGAAATTTGTAAAGAGATTTTCGATTAGGGGCTTTTGCACTCTCAAACTCAATAGCGTGTAACCGCATCCTGTTAATGTAGGATTTGATTCTATTCAACGCAATACTCTTTGTCCGTCTGAATTGAAATGAGCCCAGAAAGAGGACCCTGATTGTCTTGTCATACAAAATACATGAACATCAAGTGAATTGATTGATTAGCTAAATGATGCACACAACATCTGGTCCAAATTCCACTGTGCAAAGATTTGGCGTGCACATAGAAAATAAAACAACACGTCAAAACAAATGCATGGTTCAATTCATTAGCTAAACAATGCCCTTCATGCTGGGACAGATCTACAAATATTCGAGATACAGTAACCGTGGTCTCCAACTTAAACAACTTGCTGACTATCCAGGTATCTCATGTAACAATTTCTGCTCCCAAAACCAAATCAGTGATGCAAAACTACATAAATTTGAAAGGATTTAAAAAATGATTATAATCTACCTATAACTGGAACTCACAAAAGCAGTCAGATAAAGCAGAACCCCTACTCATTACAAAATCCTCTATATGAGCCTTCCACAGTGCTTCCATTAATCTTTCCCCTCTGAGCCCTTGAGATGTGAATACTGCAAAAGCCCTCCTACTTAAGAAAAGCGTTTTGTACAACCCCTTCATAGCCCGTATTGCTGCTACCATCTTATCCATATTCCCAAAGTACGTAGCAATGTAATAGTCGCTGTTAATGGATACATAATAATCAAGGGCAGCTTTTGTGTTTCCATGCATGCTTGTGAAGTCCTCATCACTAAGAAGGGTGGATTTTCTAACAGCATTAGTGTATACAGAGGTAAGCCCTTCAAGTTCCATAAGCCCATCTCCAGCGGCCAAATATATATTTGTGTTTGTAGGGACGGAAAGAGCCTGAAGAATGAGAGCAGTCTCATTTGGAGTGAGGGGACACTTGCCGCGGTTTCTCCAAATACGGGATGCTTCTCCAGCCCAGGGTTTGCGGTCCGCACGTGCTGCCTCTATAGCTTTTAAGGAGGTAGAAGAAAGACCAAAGTACTCACATTGGCTGTATGCAACCATGTCAGGTTCAAACCTCAGGTGCAGCGAGAGGAAGGGCTTAGGTATAGCCTGCAGAAGCTCAAGGCCCTTTTTCTCCAAAGAGTTAGTAAGTCGCAGAGCAGTATAACAAGCTTGACAAAGAGCAGCCTTTCCATGTAAAGGATACCTACAGAGAAGATAGTCATAATATCAAAAAGGGGATTCAAATAAGTGAGTTTTGCTTCAACATTTCACGTGTGCAGCCATTAACGCTTTCTAACACTATAAGAAATATAAATAGATACTTGAGCTTTACCTATCCTTCTCTGACTCATTGCAGGTGTCATAGATATATAACGATGCTCCAATAAAGCAGGAAGTACACTTTCAACATAATCAAACCGGCCTTTTCTCTTGCTACAATCCACTCGAAAAGGTTCTTTTGATGCAATATCTGCAGGCAAATCTTTAACTACTTTAACATAGCCATTCATTTCTTGGATGAAGTAATCCACATCAAACACATCTGCAAACCCACTGAAATATAACAGAAAAAGTTATGCACAATATCACATGGAAGTAAACAGAAAGGAAAGCACTAAATAAAAAGATGAATTAGAGATGGATTAGGAGATGCATCTCCCCTGTATATTCAACAGAAGTTGGTGGCATAGTTTAAGATATCTCCTTCACTTGAATAGACAGCACTCACCTAAGATTTTTAAAGGCCAAGTGAAAAAAAAAATCCTTAGATCACAGTCCAGCTGTGAGACTGTGATTAACCATGCAAAGGAAAGGATGAGACATTATCAATATGTTGGTTATAGGAAGAAAACTTCCACATTTGGCAGAAAGAAAATAACTCATCCTTCAATGTACAGACTCGGGTTGTCATAGTCCAAGAGTGCTTGTGAAGGATTACATCCCAGGGATGACTGGATTGAATTACATGAGTGCAGGTATTATTTTACTCCACAAAGCTCTCTTGATGAAATGCCACAATTAGCCGATCATGGCTCACAAGCTATGGATGACGGTTTAGATGTATTTTGAGTGAAAGAACTGGCATCAACTCTTCTTCAAATTCCATATATTGCTTATACAATTGCCAGGGCTAATATAGGTGCTACAAAATTATCAAGAGTAAAATTGTGGGCATTATCTTGTGTATTGAGGCAATCTTAGGAACAGCATGCAAGAACTACAGCCTTAAGCTATTTGATTCTTACCTGAGCAATAAACTACACAATGCAGTCATGATCCTAAAATATGCAACTTGTGCTAATCAAATTGCTATACGAAAGACTAATATTGAAATGAATCTCAAACATGGAATGGTCCTACAATTGAGACAAGTTTAGTGTTGCCTTGACTGGCATCCTAGGGAAGTAAAAGTTAATATATAACAAAGATGCAACTCCATGAGTGGATAGCCCGATAAGTATTACATAAGAGCTTCACTTACCTTGATTCATTCCAATATGCGGCCACTTCAAATTTGGGCAAAACAAGAGTTGCATTAAGCAGTCGAGCTATCCCAACGCCATCGCAAAACTGCAAATTGCACAAAGCACATCGAACATGATGTTACGATATCATACTACAAAGGAAAACAAATGAAGAAAGCAGAGAGGGGCCGAAGTGTGAAGTTGAAAGGGAATAAGAAACAAAGGCCAAGTACTTACATCCCTTCTCATCTGATTGAGCCCACCATAGCAATCCACACGAATGTAACCATTACTGTGAGCAGGTAGAGCTGCAGCATATCAACACAAAAAACCAAATCCAAATGTCTGCATTGGAAGCCAGTCAACTTTGACTTAGAGAAAAACTAGATCATCCAAATTATATATCCATCATGAAAAGCCCATCCAAGTTATCTATTCATTTCCAAGCAAATCCCGTTTACCAGATACAGATTTACAAACATAATACCAACGAAAAAACATATAGTACATCTTCTCAAGGTTTAAAATTCGTGAGAAGTTCCATAAAATCAGCACAACCCATTTAGAATCTGAAAACATGATATCTGCACCCTAAAACCCAGCAAAAGAATATACTGAAACAAAACAGGAATTTCCATAATTGAAATAAAGAAGTCCATAATACTAACGAGAAGGAGGTTGTTGAAGCCACCATTTGCAGGGTCTCCATTCAACAACCCTTCGAAGACTCCAAATCTCCGGTCTATCTGAGCTGTTCAATTAACAATAACACGTTAAAATTTTCAGCATTACCTTTACAAAATAACAAGACGCTAAAAAAAAGAACTTTTCGTAACTTCTAAGAAGTAAACAGAGAGTACAGGTGCACGAAGTCCAGGGAAAAAAAACGAAGAGATTTGTAACTCACAACGAAGTAATACTATAAGGGGTTCCAGAGAAAGGAGAAGATGATGAGAACAGAATCAGGAACAAAGAGACTATCAGCAACACTACAATACCAAGCAAAGGTTTCTTGAGCATTAACTCTATCATCTTTTTCTTTCTTTCTCTAATTTTTCATGAATTTAGAGGTCAAAGAAATATAACACTAGCTGTCTGTTTCAGATCCAGTAGAAGAAGAAGCCCCAGATGCCTTCCTTTGGTAAAATTCTTGAAGGCATGAGGAATCACAGATCCAGCAGCAGTTTAAAGAATTAAAATAGCCGTACACTGTCCAAGCTTTTAACTATCCTCAGATTGGGTGGTTGCAAGGCGGACCAAACTGCCGGGAGTCCGAATAGTATCGAGTTTTTTTTTTTTTTTTTTTTGTCAAAAAAACAGTATCGAGTTCGGGTGGGGTAAATATTAGAGATTGACCCGTATTGTAATCAGGTCTTAATTACATGGTGCCTGCTGATAATTAGGGATCAGTATTTACGAATCTATAAATTACCCCCTAGTGACTAAAAGTCAACAGTATATGGGTAAAAAAAGAAAAGATAGTTATGCCCGTTATTATAGGAAATTTGTCTAATAATCCACTTTTATTTTCTTTTTCTTCTTCTTTTTTCTTTACTATATTTGGATTTTTTTCTGTCTCCATTTGCATTACGGTATATAAATCTCATTGATAATGTACTAGTTAACTTCATTTTATGATTAAATAGTTGTTGTTATTTTCTTACAAAAAAATAGTTACCCTAAATCATCATAAAAAAAGTGGTGTAAAATTATTAAAAATAATTTAAATGCTTTTTAATTTTGTTAAGGATTTGTCATTAAACATAAAAAATAGATATTGCACATTAAGTATAAATATTTCACTTTTATTTTATTTTTACTTTTTATTTCTTATTAATATTTTCTTTTGATGTTTAAAAAAATACTACTATTATTTCGTTATATAACATACTTAATTATCACGAAATATTATGAAATTAATAACTCTAGATTTAGTAAAAATATTTTACATAATTTCTATTTTTATTAGGAGTTGATGCATCATAACAATTGATGCATAATATTTATAAGTTTTTTAATAGGTGCTTAATAGACACTTGTTGTTTGTATTGTAAATTTTCACAGAAAAATTTTTGCGTTTTCCATAACACATTTTTCAATTACCTTTTTACCTCACATATATCGAATTGTTACAGTATATTTTTCTATAAAAAAAATTCTAAAAATAGCAATCCAAAAAGGGACACCTAAATTACCCCTAACCTATATGCCAACACTAACAATTATTACCCCTATTTTGCATCTAAAAGCATTCCTTATTTAAATATTACATTTTCTAAATATTAAAACCTAAATTACATCTTAACTAATACTTAGTAGGCGGTTGATAGACAAGCCCATTAATTATATCAATAGAAAATACCTAAATTTATTAATATATGATATTTACTTTCTTATGAAAATTTGTGATGACCAAATGTTTCTAGCATGAAAGTTACATTATATATTTAACCATGAAAAGAAATTCTCTAATATATTATTGTTGAAGTTTGTATACAGAATTAGGAATGAAAGATAAAGAAAAAGACCTAAACACGCAAAGAAGAAAAGAGAGGAAATTAAAATAAAATAAAATAAAAGTCATCAGACAATATCCTTATAATGAGGACATTACCGTCTTTTTACTATGGACATACATTTGGCTTGAGTTATCGAGGGCATTTTATAGGTTTCAAAATTACAAGAAATAGTTTGCCGTCGAGCCGTGATTACATGGGAGCAATTTATAATTGAGCCATATAGAATACTAATAAGAGTTCACTTCTCGAAGTTGTTTTTGAAGTTGATAAATAAACTAGCCTAAACTATATTCCATTCACTTCTCGAAGGCCATGACCCTCAGCAAAATTTTCGACAGAAATGTGTAAAAATCCTTTGGTTAAGTAGAAAGAAGGCGTTTTGTCGGTGGAATCATAACCCTTACCAAAATTTTCAACGGAAATGTGCAACTATCCTTCGGCTTAGTAGAAAGAAGGCGTTTTATTAGCGAAATCATAATGTTGCATTTGCAATATTAGGACAACAAAAAGAACTGCTGAGGAAATAATTCAAAATACCATGGTAAAAATATTTGATTTTTCTTTAAGCTTTCCAAATGATAATCGAAAGCTTTTATTCATGTGTTAAAAAATGATAGCAAACAAGTTTAGAGAAGTTTTAAAAATTGTTTCCTAAAAAATTGCTCTATTTAAACGATTCGGGGTGTGCCCAAAACAAGGACAACCGCGAAGTTTTCTTTTTTTTTTTTTTTAATTTTATTGCTAACAATATCTTAAACTCCCCAAAAGCAGCAGTGCTTCTGGTTAAGTCGCCAGATGAGCAGAGGGGGTGGAAAGCGACATATTCGATTTCTAGGGATGCATGGTGGCATGAAAATATACGTAACAGGCTGCAAGGCAGCAAATTTAAAAGAGGCTGAAATTCAGTTTTTCCTTGTCAAAACTTTTCCGAGTTGATAATCGAGAATGAACAAACTCTCTATGTCAAACAAAGTGGTTAACGTCTCATCAATTCTGGAAAGGTACATCCCAAAATTGAAATGAAACATTGAGCACCAGAAACTTAAGAAAAAGATGCGTTCAACTAATTGACATCTCAATGGAAATAAAAGCTTGAAAATGTAACGAAAAAACAAAAGAAGACAGCCTTGTTAGCTATTGAAAAATGTCTTACAGTTCTACCAAAAATTGATTGATTCCTGCAGCTTTAATGAACCCAAAAAAAAAAGAGACACAGCCATTATCTTATCAGCTCTGTTCCTCTACATTTCCAGACTGCCCCACTTTCCCTTCGTTCTCCCTCTCCTCTTGCGAAGCAGCCATCAACTCATCAAATTTTGCCGACTTCCCCAGCACTATCTCAATCTGCAACAGAAATTTCAGCTAATGTTCAACAAAATAAAAGAAATATGACAAGAAACTGAATATGCATGTCAGGTCTGTTTTGAATTAAATGAGATTTCTACTGGTACAACGCAATGGGTGTCTGAAGATCAAAAGAGAACAATGCCAAATGAAAAGCTATCTCAGAAAACCGGCAATTCAGTCTTTATCACTTAGAATTAAAACTTGAGTACTGCGGCCCATTCACTAAACCAATAAAGGTTAGAGAGCTAACAGAGGAGTACTAATTTTCCCATTATAACTATTTACTTCTGCCAAGTTTGTAATTCAATACGAGGGAAGACAAAAGGGGCCAAGATATTGTAGTTTGTCATCAGGAACGCAGAAGAAAACTTCCCAAAACTCACACATTTACTATCATTACCTTAGCCTTTTGAACAGGTCGCCCCCTGGAATCATCCTTTATCTCCACAGTTGATGTCACTATTCCTGCAATAGTTTTAATTCAGAAAGAAATAAACTTCATCCTACCTGGATCATAACAGCCATATCCACTACATAAATTTAAGTTTTGAAAGATATAACTGGGAGGAAATAACTCACTCTTTTCAACAGCCAGGCCATTGTTCTTCAGAATTTCTGCAACCGAAACAACTGTAGCAATTGCTGCAATATTACATTAGAAATTGACATCAGTGCTTATTACCAGAAAAAAAAATAATAATAGTGGCAAAGTAAGCAGCGCGAAGACTTCTAAAGAAGCAATCTCATGTTGGTCATGTAATGCACAATCAGGCACTGGTTCTTTGTGAAGTTCTAGCTTACACCAAATCATGATACGCTTCAAGAACATAAAGCTAAACAGTTGCAGCCGTACATATACTTCACAAGCTATCAAGTTAAAGATCATGCTTAGCTCGTTTAACCCATGTCCAAATCAACAAGAGCTGATTGAACAGGATGTGAAACAGAATATGATTCCTTTTCAATATCAGGAGCGGAATGCCAGAGTTTGTCCATCCAAACAGCATCAGCTATAATGGGAAAATTAGTACTCCTCTGTTAGCAGAGAATCGCCATTTTTTTAACACCTCAAACAGTGTAATTTTTTGCATTAGATTTACTATGTTTGTTGCAGGCAAATTATAGCGACTCGAAACTGTGCAATTCCGCACTTTCTTCTATGCGCCAACTTTCAGTTTGTAAATAGACTTCACAATACAGCAAGACAGGACAAATAAATATGAACAATTAAAACTAACAACAGATTTTAATGGTTTGAAGAAGAAAACCATACCAAGCAAAAATTCAGAAAAGGTATAGTATACAGTCAAGTTAGTTTTCAGTAGGCAATAGACATAGTTGTCACGCGCCCCTAGGTATCTACCTGTGAAATCACCAAGTAACTTTATATACGGTCATTATAGACATACCAACGGAATCCAATCCAATAGACGCCCTAGTAATTTGATGGACTATTTACACAAGACACAGGCTCAGCAGTTTTCCTAAGAAAAGGAACATTAAATGTTAACCTTATTCATGAGCGCCAGGCAAGATGTTCTTTATTTCAGATAAGCATTCAAAATCCATGAACAATATTCAAATCAGTAAATCCAAAAAAAAAAAAAAAAAAGGATACGTATATTAATTACGGAACGAATTGGCAAAACAAGCCTAGATTAAGAAAGTACCCATCCCAAGGGCCGAAAGCTCCACCTCATTGTGCTGCTGCATGTACCTCTGCAACCATACATCGTAAACCAACCACCAACTTTACATTACAAATAATTGATTTAGACACAAAAGAAAAAATTCAGAAGCTTGTGAATTTGAAAAAAAAAAGAAAAAAAGAAAATGAAAGGAAAACAAAAACTAATATACCTTGGCGAGGTTGACGTAGAAGAAGAGAGGCTTTTTAGTATTGGAAACTTGAATGCGATTCTTCTTTTGAAGATCATTATTACTATTATTGATGTTAATGTTGTTTACTCCATCTGTTATCTCTTCCATTTTTTTTTTCTTTTGGTTTTTTCAAAATCTTCGATTTACGATGGAGATGAGTCTTTTGTCAGACAGAAGAAGTGTTGATGACGTTATTCCCTATTCGGGATTAGGGTTTGGGTTCGATTTGGGAAATTTGAAGACTGAGCCACGGACGTCACGCTGTGCCACGTTTGGGAAGAGGATTAACAATTGTTCCACGTAGGTCATTGCTTGGACCTGGACAACGTTTTCCAGCGAAATTCCTTTTTGTTTTGTTTTGTTTTCTTTTGTTTTGGGATTACTTGTTTAGTAGAAGCTATTTCCTTCCTTTTTAAGATTTTAGAAAATTTTGCATGGAATTGAACCTCAATGTAGAGACCAGAGAGAAGAAAAATACTAGTATTTTT